TACCTTCCTCCCCTCTTTCCTCCATTTCTCACTGTCATGGTGGTACTGGCCATTCACTGAGCTTTGCTCATAGCAAATAGGAGCAGTATCTCAACAGGGGCAAAAAGAAACTGTTAGGGAAGCTAAAGCTTCTTCCTGTGTTTCTCTCAACAGGGCCAAACCCTCTGTCCTCAGGGTTGTGACAAAGACCCTCAAATGCACACTATAATACTGGAGAAAACGCAGGATCATGCCAACATGGGTCAAATGGCAGCATAAAGTCTGCACACCAGGATGTGCTGCCATCCTGAGGTATATGTTCCAGGGAGCATGTCCCATCCTATCACAAACTTTCCAAAACACAGCACACCACTCTGTCCTTTTCTTGTGCATTTCAGGACTGCATCTGCTCCTGGAACAAGTATACTTTTCTTTCACATTTTCCTTTCAAGAAGTTGCCATAGTAAAGTCACTCTTCAATTCTAATTTATAGTTGTTACATAAATGAGAAGTAGAAAGCAAAATGGAAGTTGAATGTAAATCTGCATTTGGTTGTCAACATTACAAAGTAAATTCTCAAGAATTATTTCCACAAGAATCACACTGAGCTAGATTTATGCCGTATGTACGTACTTGCTATTGATGAATGAGCCACAGGTGTTCTACTGTCCTTATTTGCTCTAGCTGAAAGAAAATAAGAGAGAAAAATCAAAAAGAAAACAAAATACTTACTTTAGATCTAATGGGGGCTTAAGCACACTGATGGGAAGGGCACACTTAGCCTAGTATAATCATTGGTTCTCAAAACACTCCACTTCTTCAAAGACTTTAAAATATATTCTTCAGTGCCCCCAGTCGGTCAGTTTCCTTTCCAATTTCCTTTCCTCGTTCCTAAGCCAGAACTCCACTGATACTATACACTAGCATCATTGAAAAATACTTGTTCAAATTGTCCAAGCAGCCAGGGATCAGGTTAGGAAAGCTAAAGTCCTGATAGAATTAAATCTGGCCAGGGATGTCAAGGGCAACAGGAAAAGATTCTATAGGTATGTCGGGGATAAAAGGAAGGCGAGGAAAAATGTGGGCCCTCTCTGGAATGAAACGGGAGACCTGGTTACCAGGGACATGGAGAAGGCAGAGGTACTCAATGACTTTTTTGCGTTGGTCTTCACCAGCAAGTGCTCAAGCTTCACTGCCCAAGCCGCAGAAGGCAAAGGCGGGGACTGGGAGAACAAAGAGCCACCCACTGTGGAAGAACATCAGGTTCGAGACCATCTAAGGCACCTGAAGGTGCACAAGGCCATGGGACCCGATGAGACCCATCCGTGGGTCCTGAAGGAATTGGCGGATGAAGTTGCTAAGCCACTATCCATCGTATTTGAGAAGTCGTGGCAGTCCAGTGAAGTTCCCACTGACTGGAAAAGGGGAAACATAACCCCCATTTTTAAAAAGGGAAAAAAGGAAGACCCGGGGAACTACAGGCCAGTCAGTCTCACCTCTGTGCCTGGGAAGATC